GCTCTAATGCAGCAGTTCTCAACCTGTGGGTCGCAACCCCTTTGGGGGTTGAATGACCCTTTCACAGGGGTCGCCTAAGACCATCGGAAAACACATATATAATTCCATATTGTTTTTGTGATGAATCACTATGCTTTCATGATGTTCAATGTGTAACAAGGAAATTGGGGGTCACCACAGCATGAGGAGCTGTATGAAAGGGTCGCGGCATAAGGTTGAGAACCACTGCTCTAATGGGAAGCGGGGAGCGCCACGGTCAGGCTGGTTGAACAAGGGTCTCTGTTTAAAAGAGGAACATGGGCAGGCTGGGCAGATGCCTGCCCATTATTTGGCTCAGTCACAATCTAGTTGCATCAAAAGGGAGATGATTCCACCACAGACGCAGGTGACAATGAGGCACGACATGTTTTCAAATGGAGAGGCTATGCGACGCGCACTGCACACTTCTCCCCTAAGTCAAGGCGGTTCTGTCCTGAAGCTCTAAGGTGGAGGCGACAGTCAACACATACTTATTTGCTCACGTTCATACACCAGTTGATTTTCTAGAAGTCCACACAACAGGACTCTTTCAATAACCAATTTGAACATTGGGAATGGATCAAGCCACACACCTCAATCAAGAACTGATCACATGATCCGGCTGGTGTGGCTCAGTTGACCTATGAACCAAGAGGTCAGGGTTCCATTCCCGGTCAGGGCACAGGCCTGGGTTGCAGGCTCGATCCCCAGTGTGGGGCGTGCAGGAGGCAGCCGATCCATGATTCTCTGTCAACATTGATGTTTCTCTCTCTCTCTCCCCCTCCCTTCCTCTCTGAAATCAATAAAAAAAAATCTTAAAACTTCCATAAAAACAGAGGTAATTTACAAGAAGGTTAAGGTGTAAAATTGGGAGCAACTGTAGTGGCGATCAGTACAAGAGGCCATAACAAAGTAAACACTATTCAGAAGAAAAAGCAGATGATTTAGGATGCCATGCTTTACTCAGGCATGGAGACGTCTCCAGCAGAAGCAGATGACACTGCTGTTCTTCCAGAAGGAAACCTCTTTATCCCTAAACAGCCTGTCCAACAGATCTGACATTTATCGTCTTTTTAAAAAATATGTTTTTATTGATTCCAGAGAGGGAGAGGGAGAGAGAGAGAGAGAGAGAGAGAGAGAGAGAGAGACATCAATGAGGGAGAATCATTGATCAGCTGCCTCCTGCACGCCCCACACTAGGGGTTGAGCCCACAACCCGGGCAAGTGCCCTGACCTGGAATCAACCGTGACCTTCTGGTTCGTAGGTCGATGCTCAACCACTAGGCTACACCGGCCAGGCTAACACTTATCTCCTTCTTAGGCCCTGGATGTCAGTCCCTTTCTGCAAGTAAGCATCTTCCACATCCTGGAGAATCATCATTAAATCATCCACCAGACAAAAAAAAAAAATCCGAGTTCCCTTAACTCTCGCCCATAACTGGAACTTTCCATCCCTTTAATCATCGCTGCAGCTTCACTGAGGCCTCTCAGCCGTCCTTGCTTAAGTGCAGAAGCCAAGTCTGGAAGAGCCTGAAGCCCTGCCGAGCACAGCAAAGCCTCGTGTTTGCAGATGGCGCCAAGAGGCAAAGTCCTCTGAACCCAGAATCTGACCAGGGGCCGCCTACGGCCCACGTGCTGTGTGTGGTGAAGGCCGCGCTTCCCAGGCGGTGCAAGGACGCGCCCTCTAACAGAGGCAGCCGTGGCTTGTGGTCCAGAGAGAGACGGAAAATCACAACACACTTCCATGTCCCGGGAGCGGCTGCAACCATCTCTAACATGACCGCTATTCACCATGCTTTTCTCAGCCAAACTACCTCGGATCTATTTATAATCATTGCTCCTCATTCCCCTGGGAGAGGACTCGGCATGCAGTCAGTGCCAACTAAATGCTGGCGCCCTATTTCCATTGTCACGAAAGGGCACATTCATCCTGCAAATGCAGCTCGCGAGTGTCTCCACCGCCATCCAGGGAGCCTCTGTTCCCAGGGCCAGGAAAACAGCTCGTCTGGTTGCTCAGAGCGAAGCCACCCCTCGCCTTTCCACACACCACGCAAATAGCAGCTTCTCCGCGGGCCCGGCTGGTTGGAAGCACAGAAGTGTTATTTCCACGGCGTGGTGCCCCTTCAGACATTCCAAACACAGCTTCCCGGGGCGCGGGGCAGCGGGCTCAGCGCTGGGGACAACTGCTGCTTCCCACCTGATTACGGTACTGAGGGCAGCAGGGTTAGTGAACCATCTCCTGGCGGGCGTGCCCGAGCTGCACAACAGGTGATGGATCCTGTGACATTTATCACTTCAGATTTTAATTTCAACCTTTGCTTAAAGGCTGATCACCTTATTTTAAAACAAACCCAGACCTACTTATACAGCGCGGTTGGTTGGTTTTTTTAATCCTCACCCAAGGATACTTTTTCCATTGATCTTTAGAGGAAGAGTGGAAGGGAGGAAGTGGAGAGAGAGATGGAGAGGGAGGGAGAGAGAGGAGGAGGAGGGAGAGGGAGAGGGAGAGGGAGAGGGAGAGGGAGAGAGAGAGAGAGAGAGAGAGAGAGGAGGGAGAGGGAGAGAGAGAGAAACAGACAGACAGACATCAACTGGTTGTCTCCCACAAGCTCCCAGACCCAGGCCGGGCACCGAACCTGCAGCTGAGGTACAGGTTGCATTCTCTAAAAGTCTGCAGCCTCTTGCCTCCTAGCAGGACAAGGAATCGAACCAGCGACCCTTCGGTCTGCGGGCTGACACTCTAACCACTGAACCAAACCGGCCTGGGCTTACACAGCTTTTCTAAACAACCCCATTTTCTCTAAGGCAATACTGATGTCTAAAGGCTAAGTGACAGGGCCTACAACAGTGATGGCAAACCTATGACACGCGTGTCAGAGGTGACACGCGAACTCATTTTTGGGTTGATTTTTCTTTGTTAAATGGCATTTAAATGTATAAAATAAATATCAAAAATAGAAGTCTTTGTTTTACTATGGTTGCAAAGATCAAAACATTTCTATATGTGACATGGCACCAGAGTGAAGTTAGGGTTTTTCAAAATGCTGACACGCCGCGCTCAAAAGGTTCGCCCTCACTGCCCTACAAGAAAGAGAAGTACCACTGACACTCAGCACAAACGCGCTACCGTGTCCAAACTATAAAGTCAGCTGTTGCTTTGGGAGGTAATCCTGTTTGAGCAACAAACATTAGAGGATCGAGCTTATCCAAGGTTATTTTTATAAAGCCTTTGATGAAGATACTTTAAAGATCTTTTCAAAGCTATTTCACACGTGAAGAGATCTGGGACTTGAAAGGGCGAGCTGAGAGATGGTTAACCAAGGGCAGGGCGAGGCAGAGGCTTGCCGGGTGAAGGCGCGCTGGCATCAGGGCGTTCTGCCGCCAGACCAGGCGAGTCCCGCTGGCAAACTTCATAAATACTCTGGCAGCTGGGAGAGTTAGTAAAGTCATCCATGCCAACCTGAGCCCCATCATGGGCCCCGCCTGCGGTGAGGCGCTGGGAGGGTGTGCAGATCACGGGCAGGCATGTGAGCGGAATGGCATGCGTGTCTGCTGGGTACCACCGATGTGCTCACTGCTCCCTGCCCCGCTG